GTGCGCTGTTCCGACCTTCAACCTTCCCACTGTTGATCCAGCAATACCCGAACCCAGAGGTTTGATCTTCATCGTCGCTGTCCGGGCAAATAATTTTCCTCCGGGGGCCAAGTTAATAAAGTTGAATAGCGGAATTTTCGCTCTTTGAATTTTTTCCTCCGACGAATTCAGAAGGTTAGGAGTTCTCAATTCGGACACAATAATCTTAAAATATTGCCTCACGGGTCGAAAGAAAGAATTTTTGTATGGTTTATCTCCGGCAAACTGCTTCTCATACAAAAGAGAAGGGAAAAACGAAGGGTCATTACCAAAGAGTTCTGGGGGTCGAAGGGGAAGAAAGAGAAGGGACATGATAAGGATCGAAGATTACACGCTTTATGTAGACGAAAGAAACTATTCGCGTGCACACTTTTACTGCCTAGGCGTTTCGAAAAGCGCAAAGACGCCTCGAAATCGACCGTAACGTTCCAACTGTCAGCGGTTTCTAAACCGTGCATGGCACCATTAAGAAACTCCGCGTCCATGAACTAACGAGCCACTCTTCACGACTGTCGCAGGTTCATAAGCCTAAACTGTTTAGAATTTTCCAAAAATAAACTATTATGCACCAACTCGGCGAGTAATATGTGACATTTGTATGTCGTAATTTTGTATGTCGCGGAATAGAAAATTTCAATAAATTAAATTTTACAAAAATTATTATACACCAACTCTGCGAATAATATACTACATTTGTATGTCGCAGTTGTGTCGCAGAATAATTTTTTCGACTAATAGTCGCAGATTCATTCGCCTAACAAGAATAATTATTTAATGGGCGGCGGACCGCAATTGACCGAATCGTACATCGAATCTCCACAAATTCGTCGCGGAACAGTCGCATACTTTAACTCATAATTTTCTCGCTCATGCTCATAGCGGTCGTCTATCTATCGCATAGTTCATCGCATATGTCTTCATACTTTCTGGGGTGAAAAACTTAACTTTTTATTGGGCGATGTAAAAAACTTAGCAAGACTTCAAAACAAGATAAAACTAGCTATTTTCACTTCTGAAATTATATACATGGTTGTGATTCATACTAGTACAGATCTCGTGCGATGCACGGGGTGCACAAAATTAAGGTCATTTATCAAGTCTTATAATTATATAAATGAATAAAGAAAAATGTAGGGGATATATATAGTACGTGACCTGTAATAGGCCAAAATATGAACACGGGTGATGCACGGGGTGCACAATTTTAAGGTCATTTATTAGTACAGAGTCCGTGAGATGCACGGGGTGCACAATTTTCTAGTATGTGTAATACAAATACATACCGTATGCACGGGACATAAGCACTAAATGAGTTATTTCCACAGAACTTGCCCGTTATGTAGCTCCTGAATAGGGGTGTACAATTTGTAGTACGTACTATAAAATCAAAACACATTTCCATACAATTAGATAATAAATTAGATAATAAATAAAGCCTTTTTTATTTAGTAAAGATTTTACATACCTTTTTTTACTTATCGGATGTTATGAGATTTTTTGTTAAACCGATTTGATGAGATATAATACAAATACAATTAGAGTATTGAACAAAATCAGAACAGATTTCTATACATTTAGATAATAAGAAGGAATTAGATAAGGAAAAGAAAAAATTAGATAAAGAATTTTGAATATACCTTTTGTTTAGTATAGATAGACTATACGTACAAATTTTGACTTCACCGATTTTATGAGATTTGTTTTGACAAAATCAAAGGCGAACACTGAAAAATGTTTCTATTAACAATTTAACATTTACAATGTGTATTTAATATTTTTATTTTGAAAAATTATTCTTTTTAAGTGTGATATATAAATATTAAAAATATTAAAAATATTTAAAATATTTTATAACATCTATAAAAGCATCTAAAATATTCTATATTATTCACAAATAATGTTTGAAGCTACCTAAATTTTTCTAAACTACCCGTAAGAAAAATATGTCTAAAAATTCTTCATTTAACCTCCATATATGTATATATATAGAGAGAGCAAATATGTACAAAAAAATTATACAAATAATATTTAAAAGTATCTAAAATATTAGTAATTAGACAGATGAAATTTAGATTTTTAAAAAAATCTATATAGATAATGGATTTATAGTAGTAATTAGACTTTTATTTATTTACCTTTAAAGTTGTTACGATAGATGAGGGGTGTGATTTTTTTGACTCCTGGAGATGGAATTTTATAAGCTGGGTTATAAAATTTTCTTAAACTCGTCCATATCTATGCGACGAATTTTTTAAGCTGGTTATATAGATTTAAAATTGTAAAACAAAA